ATAGTCTTCTACACATAACTATGCACTAGTCTGTCATATTTTCCAATCTAAAACCCCACCCCACGCACACACTATGACAGATACATTTTTACAATTCTCACCCTCCACTATAGTCTTCTACACATAACTATGCACTAGTCTGTCATATTTTCCAATCTAAAACCCCACCCCATGCACACACTATGACAGATACATTTTTACAATTCTCACCCTCCACTATAGTCTTCTACACACTTGTATGCACTAGTCTGTCATATTTTCAAATCTAAAACCCCACCCCCACCCCATCCACTTGCACAACTAGGATGCTTCACATGTTGCATACCATTGTGTGTTCCTTACTGGAGAGGTATCAAGGAAACTTAAGAAAACTTCTAATGCTTTGCAGTCTTAGATCAAAGGATGGTTGCATATTTACTGAAATCCTTGGAGGGCAGTGATGAAATCTTGACCATGGTTGTTTTAAGTCAGCCTCAAAATTATCTGGATTTAGACATCTTAAGTAACAATTCTAGGCATGAGAAAAAAAGTTGAACTTGCTATCCTGAACCAAGGACACCCTACCAAAGGCTATGGGCTATGGTTCTAGGGAAACAAGCAGGCTGCATACAAAACGATTTGACGTATAGTTCATAACTGGTATCTTCACCACATCTTTATAATGTAGGTCATGCTGTAGGGAGAGATGCATTCCTGGATCACAGTATTATTGTACCTTTATCAGAACTGGTAAGGATCATCATAAAATCTTCAAATAAAAAAAAAAACATCCTCCGGAATCCAGGGGTCAAATTCTGTCTTTTGTTTTACCCCTGGATTCCCAAGGATGCAAACAAAACATGATTTATTCTCTACCATGTGGTTCATCCTTATTTTAAGATTCTTGGTAAAAAGTAAGCAGTACACTCATTCTTCTTATAAAATATTATATTTTTGAGCCCACAAAAACACAGGTGACTTAAACTTTTTAATTAATTGGCTTTATTCCTGCCAAGAATTGTCAAAGATTTATGGTGTAGTTCCAGAAATTATCCATACCCCCCACAGAGGAATTTGGAATTTCCGAGGGGTGGGGGAGGGGGGGATCCGTAAAAAAATTCCTCCATGGGGGGGTGGGGATGGATAATTTCACATTACGAATTTTAAATATAGGGGTCAAAATGGCCCAAGAAATAACAGGGCCTTGCAAGCCTTGCTTGGAGTCTTGTTTTTTAATTTCCCTTTTAATCATTGTATCTGAGATACATAGTTCTTGAAAGCTCAAGCCCTGCTTGCACCATTTGGACCCCTAAATATGAAATTGTACGTTCTAAGCTTGTTTCTTTGTCTACAGTTTAATGACAAAGTTTATCAAGCCAGACGCAATGCCCACAAAGCAATTGAAATGTGTTCACATACAAGTCCTGGAACTGATGGCATAGTTGAGGCAAAACTTATACCTGTATTAGTGAAGAAGCTCCTTGGAGAAGAAGATGAAATAAAGGTAAGTAAAGTTGAGAAATCTTTCATCAAATCTATGTACTACAGATTTTTGTGTAATTCCAGTGAGATTGGGATTTCCAAGAAGTGGGGAAAGTCTAATGCTCAGGTAATTGGCTTATGTAATATTTACTAGAATATACCAATCCTGCATCTTTCCTACAGTGGTCTGTGTAAAGGGTAAGGATGTTCTGAGGAAAGTACATGTATTATGATTTTAGTTTTCAGAAAATATCCAGAGAGGGGTGGGATTGAAAAAAATCCAAAGCTGGAGAGGGTCTCCCAAAAGGGCACATTGCATAGTTATATTTCAGAAGCAAAATAAAATATTCATTTGCAGTCCATAAAATGTGTTAGTAATAAATAATTGATTTGTGATATGATAATGGAGTATATATTATGTATTTTTAACAGTCCCTTGTCCCAGGGGTGGATGCAGGATGTTTTACAGTAGGAGGAGGTGTGTCATTTTTGATTAAGATTTCCTCCTGAACCCTTCTTTACCTCCTGAACCCCTATCCCTAGATCTGCCTCTGCTCCCTCGTCCCAGGGGCCCGCACCTAATACAGACCTTGTTTTACTATATAATATGATCCTTTATCTCATCCAGTAATTTGTTGAATGCTGGTTTGATAGGAGCTTATTCTGGACACTCTACATTACTGCATGAGAATAGAAACCAGTGATGCCTTGAATAATGATGCTATGAAAGCCTTCACTAAACTTCTGAGTCACTCATCACCTTCCATACGATACAAGGCTGCAAGGGATATTATGGATTTGAGGTGAATTCATTTAAGCTTAGCTCTTTAGTTGTTAAGCACGGGTGGCGTGGTGGTGAGAGCACTCACCTCTCACCAATATATGCAACCTGGGTTTGAGTCCCACTGAGTTTCCAAATTCCGAATCCAGTGGAAGATGAGCCACTCTTTATTTATTATAAAGCTGTTAGGAGCGCATTAAAAAGGTCAAGACCAACTTAAAAGAAATGTAGACGAGGGGAAAACTTCTGCATTTGCAACTCATTACGTCAATTATTTTTGAAAAACCCTTTAAAAGTTCATTGAACTTGAAACAACCTCCAGGCCAGGACACCTGAGACATGGTAAACTGACAAAAATAATATTGGAATTTAACTTGCTAGTTTTTTGGGGGAACGAATTTGGGGAATTGGGAAACAAATCTCAAATCAAGGGAAAAACTGACCTTAAAAGATATTTTATTAGAATCAGGCTGGTTTTTTGCAAAAATAAAATTATTATAAACTGGCCTGGATTTTAAGTCACAGTTATAGCAATCAAACTTGATCTTCAATGTATTATTTTTTTAGTTTTCTACTAGAAGGGAAAGATAAAGCAGTAGATGAAGGAGCAGTACCTGAGCTAGTATTCCTACTTAAAGATGATGACACAAATGTCAGAGCACAAGCAGCTGGTGCCTTAATGATGTGAGCCCAAAGTCTTTCTATTACCTATTATGACATAACTGTTATAAATCTCACATTCTGATTGGTTGTGAGCGCTTGCTTTATGAGAGCACACAGCATGCGCGCACACTTACAGTTGCATCATTCCTATCTAAAATAATGGTTATTGTAATTTGTATTTCATAAAAGAAATAAAAAACTTGCTTGCTGTGCTGTGTAAAGTTATAAAGCACTTGGGAATTGGCATAACACTCGGGAAGTGTCCAGAAGCATTCCACTACTCATCATGCTTCTCCTAACACTTCTTTCGTGTTCTGCCAACCCCTGCGTGCTTTATAAGTGCACACAGCAAGCCTGCACGTTTTCTGTTTTTTCACTATTTGTTATATACAACAAATAAATGATTAGGCTCCTATTTGTTTACTTGCACTCTATCATGGCCATAGCAGATCAGACACAGCAAAATCAACAGTCACTCAAAACTACTCTATGGACACCTACTTAATAATGGACACCCAGCTATGGCAGACACATCCTTTGTCTAAGCCATGGTTTTTCTCCATGGTCCTCAGGAGGTCATATTACTGAAATTCCACTGTACCGTATGAAGTACAGATAATAGACCTAATCCACTGTTTTCTCATTGCAAACCACTTGTCATTCCCTAGAATATCATTTCTTTGTTTAATGGTTGCACATGAGAAGACACATGAATATGGATACAACCCAAACAAAGAATCTTATTCTCAAGGGAATGACATGTGGTCTGAAATGTGCAAAACATTATGCCCAAGTATTTTTGGTCCACTTTTAATGTTACATGGCACGGCCCCTAGAGTGCATGTCATATATCCATGAAAAACTTTGCAAGAAATTACACAAATTTTAGACCTAAAAAAACTTTGCACTAATTTGTACAATTTTGTTAGTTTAATTTTTCATGGATATATAGTATGAACTCTACTGTGCTAAATACAAAGTGCCTTGGCCTTTTAAGTGTCAAACAAATTAAAGGGGTTAAACAAGGTACAGTGAGTCATTTGTGGTTTTATTTTTTGTAGAATTACTATAACGACTAAAGGGAAATATGCAGCAATAGAGGCTGAGGCCATTCATAACTTGGTTAAAGTGCTGAGTGATTCAGTCAGTGAAGTCAGACTTAATGCCCTCAAGGTATATATACCACATTAACTATAATGATATTTCTATTTACTTAGACTTAAGACTGGGCTATTTCATTGTCTGTAGACATCATCTGCATGTGCTAGTCATAATGTGCATAGATGGTGGAGCCAATTTAACAGTGCGAATTGAAAAACCGTGGGCACCTAGAAACATTCTAGGAATGTTCTATTCTTCTTTGACCAATTAGAATTGACTTTCTAACCACAAGATAATGGAAAGACAACAATAACGCTTCTGATTGGCTATTGAACATTCTTGAAATATTTCTAGGTGCCCACGGTTTTTCGATCCGCACTGTAAAGGTTGGGGGTGCAGAACTTTATCAAATACTAAAAAAGTGAGAAGGGGCATCTGGTGGCCCCTTGACCATAACGCCTTACTAAATCATGCTATGATAACGAAACTAGGTAGCATGGGTGGGACTAATGTTGTTAATCATCTGACCCCATAACATGATGTGGCGTCACATATCACGTGACTTACGAACCAAACATCGTCGATTTTTGCGAATAGTCATTACGATGAATGTTATGTTAACGAAATTTGGTAATTGGTCAGCCTTGTTGGACAACCAGATGAGTGTGGGGCCACGAGGTGCGGGCCACCAGATGCTGGTGGCACGTGCTAACCTTACTTGCATAAACGAGAGGGCTCATACCTCTTTTGACGGTCGAATTTTTTAAAGAGGGGAAACTAAAGCTTCCAGCCCCCCTCCAATATGTTGAACATTTCTTTTCTTATACAACTTTTACATTTAGGCAATAACAACATTAGCAGAGGCACCTGTAGGAAGGACAACATTGCTCAAGTCTGTCAAAGAGGTAATCATGAGAACCCTTGGTGTTAGCTTGGGCGTCAGTAATTTTTCACCATTCCACACTACATGCCATTCTCTAGAGTATTATTTCTTTGTTTAACGGCGGCAAATGAGAAGACACACAGATAGTGATGTAATAGGAAAACATTACATCTAAACTAAGAGAGTATTTAAGGTCATAGTGATGAAGTAGAAAATGGTGTTGTCCAAGGTCAGAGTTTTCCCCTATCCGGACCTACTTTAGTAAGGCAAATAACTCTTTTTAACTACGAATAACAATTGTTTTTGTTTAGCATTTTGTTATCCCATGCGCGCGCGGATAGTGTAAGCAACATATAGAAAATAATATATGTATCCGCTGCTGGCTGTGTGCTATCCAACCCCGGGGGGGGGGGGGGGGTATCCAACATGTTTATCACTGACGGCTAATTCAAATAACATGTGTTGTTTCGAAACCT